GAAGTCCATTTCCCATTTGTAACTGGAGTTAAACATTCCTGCTGCTGAGGTTGTCAGCAGTGAGATTGTTTTTGCCCAGTAGGCATATGCCATCTGCTATGAATCAAGTCCAGAGGTGGATGGCCTCTGTGCAGAGAGCATAGGATCTGCTGCCCCTCCACTCCCCGCCTGTAGAACATTGTCACTTGATTGTCCATAAAAGTCTGCACCATGTTGTTATGTATGCGGTGTAAGACATGTTGGCATGCATAGAATGCCACCCAGAGTTCTAATACATTTATGTGCAGGTTGCATTCTTGTGGGGATCACTGTCTTTGGATCATGAGAAGACCTGAATGCACCCCCCAACCCAGGAGAGAAGCATCTGTTGTGATGGTCACGGATGGGGGATGTTAGTGAAAAGGTACCCCAACGCACACGATTTTTGGGTCTGCCCACCAGTCCAGGGAGCATCTGATTCTGGTTGGGATCGATACCAGTTTGTTGATGCTGTTGTATTGTGGCTCGTATACCTTCCTTAAGCACTGCTGCATGGGGCTCATATGCAGTCTGGCATGTAATACTACTGAAGTGGCTGTCGCCATGTGTCCTAGTAACTGCAGGCAAGTCCTTGCTGGGACTTATGGACTGGCTTGGGCCAATGATGAGAGAGGCCCTATATAGTCTGAAACCTTTGTCGCAGGAGAGAGGCTATGGCTTCCACATAGTCGAGGTGAGTGCCGATAAACTCCATTGTCTGAGTTGGGTGGTGTTTGCACTTGGAGAGATTTATCTGTAAGCTAAGGGTCTGAAATAGAGTCCTGGTTAGGGAGATTGCATTTTGTGCCTCTAGTCTTGTGGTTGCTTTTATTAAGCAGCTGTTGAGGTAAGGGAATATTGAAACACCTTGTCTGTGCAGATGTGCAGCAATGACCGCCAGCACCTTTGATAAGACCCTCAGGGAAGCGGAGAGTCCAAATGGCAGCACTATGCATTGGAAGTGTGCATCACCCACTGCGAATCTGAGGTACTTGTGATGTGCTGGGTGAATGGATATGTGGAAATACGCATCCTGGAGGCTGAGAGTTGACAACCAGTCCTCTGATTAACGTGGGGATTATAGTGGATAGAGTGACTATCTTGAACCATTATGGTCGTATGTATCTGTTGAGCTTCCTAAGATCGAGAATCAGTCTCCATTCCCCCCCAACTTCTTCGATGTGAGGAAGTAGTGGGAGTAAAACCTTTTCCCTTGTAGCAATGTGGGATGGGTTCTACAGCCCCTAGATGGAGGAGGCAGTTGATCTCCTGTGGGAGAATGTTATGGAGATGTGTCCCTGAAGATGGATGGGAAAAGTAGGTAGGAAGGGGGGTAGAAGAAAAGGGGATAAAGTATCTGTTCTTTATAATGTCCAGTACCCATCTGTCAGTCATGATGGAGGACTCCTGACAGAAGAAACGTGCTAGACATTGATGGAATAGATGATCAGGATGTGGTCACCTTAAACTGAGAGGTGTTACCAGACTCTTGACATGAGCTTCAAAATGTTGTCTTGAAGTTGATGGCTAAGAGGTGGAGGGGTAGTCAGGGGTTTTCCTCTGCCTGGTTTGGCATTGCCTCCTTGTTATCAAAATGCCTTTGCACCTGGCTAAATGGTGTAGCTGTACCTCTGAGTAAAGCTTCATCCCTGTTTGCACTTTACTGTATGAATACCTAGCGTTTTCAAAGTGGCCAGGGAATCTTTGAGTGAATGAAGGGAAGCATCAGTGGTGTAGGCAAATAACGTAGAACCCTGAAAGGGAAGATTTTCTACTGTGGACTGCACCTCCTGAGGAAATCTAGACAGGTGCAGCCCTGATGACCTCAACACCACTGCTGTTGTGTTGGAGCGAGATGCCATGTCAGAGGCACCTAGAGCAGCTTGAAGGGCCATGTGTGAAATCAGGGTGCCTTCACTGATACTGGCTCTGAACTGCTCTCTTTTGTCTTCTGGAAAACAGTCAATAAAATGTGCCATCTACTCAAAAGTGTGGTGCATGTATTTGGTGAGCATGGCTGTGTAGCTTGATGTGTGTAGTTGAAGGGATTCAGAACAACATGGCTTCCTCCCCATCAGGTCAAGAAGTTTCCACTCCTTAGGAAGAGGTCCTAGTCATACTCTGTTTCCCCCTTTGGTTCACAGCATCAACCACCAAGGAATTAGAGACTGGATATGAGAACAAGAAGTCAGCCCTTTGTGGTGCGACATAATATTTCCGGTCTGACCTCTTGCAGACTGGCGATATTGTTGTTGGCATCTGCCAGATGGCTTTGGCAGGGGCCATGAGGGCTGGGTGCATGGGCAGGGCCAATTTAGCTGCTGGAGTAGTGTGCAATATACTGGTTAAGTTTGTGCTGCCTCTCAGAGAGGCTGACTAGGGAGACCTGTAGGACACTGGCCATCCTCTTGTAAATCTCTTGGAACGACTTAAAAGTTGTCTCCTGCTGTAGGAGGAAGGGACATCAAGGTATTGTTGGGGGAAGAAGATTAGATGTATGTTGATGAAAGCGAAGAGACAGAAGCCTCATCGTCACCTAATTGGCCTGGGGACGGGGGAACAGCATGGCCTCCACAGGCTGGATCCACCCATTTGGCGGGCCAGATTTGGCCTGCGGAGGCCCTTTTGCCCACCCCTGCTCTAGGTGGTACAGGTGAGGTTGGATGAAGCTGCATCTGTTGTGGTTGCTAGACTCTATAAGGACGCCAAAGATCCCAGTATGGTCAGTTGGCTGGCATTGGCACTGGAAGGGGCAGCTATCGGGGTGGAGCTTGCTGCACTTGCTGCTGCTGTTGAGGTTGTTTTGGGAAGAGTTCCTCGGTGTAACGAGCACCCACCAGGGGCTTGTTGTCTTCATCACTCGATACTGGCAGTGCCGAACCTGCAGGAGTGGACAGGGTAAACCTGCTAGAGGTGGGCATGCCGTCGGTTCCAAGTAATAGGGTCAACACGAACATTCTGAGCTCCACCGTTGTTAAAGGGTGCGGTGCCAGAGGGAGCATGGAGGGTGGAACCACTGCAACCTGCGGTGCAGATGGTACCAACTGTGTGGTCATTTGTGCCCGGTGTTTGTGTTTTCCTCGGTACTGGGGGTGGCATAGGTACCGACAGCACCGAGTGCAACATAGGTTTCTTCGGTGCTGACAGAGTGTCTGAAGAAACCGTCTCTGACTCTACCTTCACTGGTACCCAAGCAGAGCTGGGTGGTGCTGGTGGTGCCGACTTTGACTTAGGCTTTTCCAGTGCCCTCTCAACTGCCTTTGTGAGGTCCTTGGATCCTCAGGAACCGTTGGTGCCAGATGGTCCCAGTACCTCCTTGTCCAGTGCCCTACAGTGGGTTGGTGAAGGGGGAATGTTGGGTGTTTATCTTCATTTTTTTGAGGGGGAGTCACCTTACTTGCTGAATGGGATTTCTTCTTGGATTGATCAGGGGAAGAATCCCTGACACCGGAGCCTGAGGGAGCCACTTTCTCAGACACAGCCACCAGGGAGGGCTGTCGAGGTGGGGTGGAGTGCTCCAGGTCCGAGGCCAGCCTCATGGTGTTTTTCAGGGAGATGAGCTTCAGTTGTAGCTCCACAGCTTTCTGCATACGGGCTGTTTACTGCTTGCAGTGCTGGCATTGGGCCATGGCATGAGCCTGCCCCAGGCATACCACGAGCGCCTGTCAGAAACCAGAATGGAAAGCCTGCAAGACAGGCAGCATTTAAAGCCTGGGGTACCTGGCATTCCAGGGAGGAAAGACTGCCAAGGCAAAAAATGGCCTTAAGAAGAAAAAAGATTTTTTTTTCAAATAATAACTATTTTAACTATTAACTATGAAAAAACCACTATGCTAACTATACTAACAAGAAACAGCTAGTCTTTTGAAGTAAAAGTTGGAGAGCAACTGTGGTTCCAACTGATGCTGCCATCAGAGAAGGAACTGAAGGGACAGTTGGCTGCACAAATGTAGTAGCAGCACTGCACGTGCTGCCTGCTTCACATGCACAGACTACTGGAGGGCACTGCTAACAAAAATCTCTAACAAAGCACACAGTGGCACCCAGACACCTAAGATGGAGCACGTACAGAGACACTCCTTGAAGAACATTTTATTATTTTGGGTAGACACACTCCAGCATGGCCAATATACATGGCAGAGAGTATTATTGCTGGCACATGTATATCCTCTTCATGCATCTGATGAAGAGGGTTCTAGCCAATGAAAGCCTGTGCCCAAATAAATGTGTTAGTCTTTAAGGTGCTACAGGATTCCTTGTTGTTTTTGCTGAGAAATGAAGATTCCCTTCCTCACTCCCACAGCAATCTCTCAGAGGCTGTTCAGCTCTTTGGTAGATTCCTTAGCTGTTAGGGGCTTATAAGTCTAAACAGGCTTGTGAAGACGCTGAAAAGCTGAATAAATTTTGCTGTGATGGGGAAAGTGATGGAAAGACTAGGAAATGAATGCCTTTCCTTAGATGTTATTCTGGGAGTAGTTGAGTACTTGATCAGCATTTTTATGGGGAGCAGCTGCGTACAGGACGGCCAAAGGAGCAGGATGACAAAGGAAGTGCGGGAAGGTGTTTTCAGCATCCACTGGTTTGGGGAATGGTAGGTGGTGGTGATAGAATGGTTACTAATGTGATATTTTCCATCCCACTTTGTAAACTGCCTAATGTCCTTAGGAGATATACAGGAATGATGCCATGTTTTCATAGACTTCAGGGAACTGGGACTTGCTAAGAATATGGAGGAGAAGAAGATAGATAAAGTAACTCAACTTGCGGTTGCTTTTGTTTGGGTTATGCATTTAAGTACAGTTATCTATTTTATTTCTGAATTGTCAAGCTTCCTCTGACGAAATAAGAGTTCTAAATGTGTACTACTCTGCAATGCACTTTAAAAAATTGAATCAGAAAATCAGATAGGATAGAAACCATGTTTAGTAGTAGCAGATTCCCTTTTAATTTGTTGCCTCTTAACACTAACTTTTCTTACTTACCACAACAATTTTGGAAACCGGGTAGATTCTGCAAAACTTCAAATGCTTGTTTACAAAGATTCTTGGTCAAATATTCACATGCAATTGAACACAGAAGATTGTGTCGATTAAGGACATCCATTCTATCACAGGGCCACAATGGTGTATTTATAATCCATTCGGACTCTGAAGTAAACACAACAGAATTGTTTTGAACTAAAATTGGGTATAATAAGTAATAGGCTATGAACATTCTACTGAATACTGACACGGAAGAGAATTTTCAAAACTTCACAGAAAAATACACAATTACTAGGTTTTCATTAAACATTTTACATGGTACTGAAATTGGCTATAACAGCTTGTCTCTTTTAGAGGGTCATTACACTCTTCTAGCACGAATAATGTAGGGTTCAAAATTTGGATTTAGACTTTCTCTCTTTATTGACTTCTCTCTCCCATTCTCTCCGAGTATATCCTGTCTACCACTAATCAGCAGTTAGACCCATTCAGGAGACATGGAGGGAAGAGAAAGAGCAGGGATGGAGTACGGAGAGGGAGCTCGGAGGAAAGGGCAGAATTGGGCGGGAAGAAACTAGGGATGTTAAAATGCATGTATTTTTGTAGACATGTAACTGTTGAATTTTTCAGTGGTTACACATTTACATATGGGGAGGGACAGGTGGAGTGGTTTTCAGTGAGTGGTTTGTAGACCATGCTGTCCCTGAATGTAAAGCTTATGGTCAAAAGGAAAATTTGGCCTTTTAAGATTCTTCTTCAGCTGCATAATGTAAGTGCCCACAAACTGAACTATAACACCCTGAATGGCATTCACACATTGTGGGAAGAGGTCATTTTGCAATGTCTGAACCCCATTTCAAGCTGTGCATGACCAGATGCAATACACAGCTTCATAGGATATGATG